GGAGGAATAAGAAAACGAAATACTATATCGTGATGTGACATCGATTAATTCATATACTACAGATACACATTGACTTTATGAGAATCTAAGTACTTTATATTTTGATAATTGTGTTTATTCGTAAAAATCATATATATGTGTAGGTAGTAGACTCGATATTGGAACTTTGTTCAACTAGTGGCAAACAAAACTCTTGAGACTTATATTCAATTGGACAAGATTTTTGCGGCCTCGGCCGATTTTTCGTACCTTTCTCTTTCCTCTTTACTAGGCCTGTTCAACATTGCTTCAATGGCTCCAGAATAAGGAGCCTTAGTGTTTATTGGTGGGTTGGCGTTCTTGACTACCTTGAAATAGTTCTCATAGATATCACCGTTGTAGTTACCGATCGGAGAATTAAGAACCATATCTGGCTGTTGGAACGAGTCCGTCAATGCGACAGCTTGGCTTCTTAGTTTTTTAAGATATATTGGGATAACATTAGACTTCAAATGGTTCATGAATTTAGGTGAAGTTACATTTAAAGACAAAAACTCGGCCGAAAAACTCTCCAATATACTAGTGTATGCATATGTCTTTGCTACGTCCTTCAAAATTTGTTTTGTGGACTCATCAGCAGTATCAATTCTAGACATAAAAGTCTGTAATAAATAATGATGACATCTTAATTTAGAGAGTAAAACTCGTTGGTAACTAACATGATCCCAGTTATTGTCTCCAATTGACTGTAAAACATCCATTGATTGACTTGCAAGCCTACAGATCAACACCTCAAGAGCCCTCAAGACCAAGGACAAGTCTTGTAGATCATCATCAGATTTTAAGAACAATTCGTCATTTATGTAATTCTTTGCATTTGATAAGAACGAAATTGAACCAGTAATCTTTTTATTCTTTTTTATCACTTGTGCTGTATTTGAGATGATTGCTTTACCGGCAGACATACCTAAAACACTATTATCACCTTCATAAGTACATTGGACAGTCCAATCTGCGTATGTCTTACCAAATCCCGAATATGCTGAATATCCATGACCACCACAGGCTTGTCTACTTTCAGTAATACAGTCTCCAGCTAACCAGGTACATGTAGATTTCAACGATGCCGAATCAATGAACAACGATTTTGTGGTTTCTATAGCTTTCTGTAAAGTGACTTTATCATTTGAATTAACAGCATAGTCAAATTCTTTGAGACAAGCAGCATGATCATTCTCCAATTTTTTTGTCCCAACTGCCATAGCATACGTTAAGGCTAAATATGGAATCAAACGACGTTGATGCAACGGGTAGTCCAATAATTTTGATTCCAAACCATCACCGTTATCATTACCACCCTCTTTTTTGAATTGTCTTCTGCCAATAGCATATCTGATAGCAATAGTGATAAACCGGGCACTAATTCTATAGGAATCCACTGCCATCATAACCCTCCCGCCTAACAATGAAATATACACTAATTGTTGCAAGGGAGGTAACTCAACTTCTCCATTTCTAGATACTTTACAGAACCTTTGCAACATGAAAAATCTTGGAATCTTCACGTTTGAAAATTGAATCCAACCATTATCCACACCTTCACGTCCCATTTTACCTCCAATATCACCAATAGTAATACCGGGCATCACATCATGATTAGAGTCTCTCAATGGAACCACAAAGGTTTTAACCCCATAGTCTTTTTCTTTGACAATTAACCTAGCATACACAACACAATGAGTGGCCACATGTAAGGCACCTCCAATCCACCATTTGGTGGCACCGATATGGGGGGTGTTGATGATGAATTCGTCGTTTTCTTCGTCAAAAGTTGCAGTAGTTTCACAACCGGCGACATTGGATCCATGACCTAATTCTGTCATCCCAAAACACCCATATGCACTTTTAATTTTTGTTGTTTCCTTATCAATACACCAATACTTATACTGTGCAGCCGTACCATTTCCTTTAATACAGTTTACAAATAACCCTAAATTGATGCTCAATCTGATTCCTGTCGATGGATCATATACAGCGAGCAAATTCAACCTTCTATGAAAGTCTGACGGGGAATCCCCCTCAATATAACGACTCAACAGATTGATTCTCATAGCTGACTTTGTTCTCTCCTCTAATCTATTTAATTCATAATCCTTGTAGCTAGAACTCAAAATTGGGTCTCTTTCCATCTGCTGATATAGTCTTAATATTTGTTGTGAATTCTCTCGGGAACCTTCCAAGAATTCATGCATTATCGTAGGTTCGAATTGTTTTTGCAGCCTTTCATCCTGAATTGATTTGGATGGATTAGGTGGTGCACTGTTATTGACAATATTTGATGAATTCATCTTTAGTTATTCTATAACGAGTATATAGAATGGGAAATATCATTGAAATATATACTAGTATAGTTTACAGGTGTATGTTTTATATATAATCCCCTCCTTTGGCTTTGTGGGGTAATTTTACTCCGTTTGGCAGAACAATCCAAAGGGTTGAAAACTGCAATACCCGATTTATCCAGAATCTTATGATTATTAGTAACTATATATTAGCCACGCAAATATTGTTCCACTAACAACTATACCCGTACAATACACGAGTGTAAGCGGGGGTTATGTGTATTTTCAAAAAGGCTTGTAGAAGGAATGCTTTAGAAGATATGTGGATTTACTAGGGGACTGTACCACTACTAGGGACGACTAAGAGGGACGAAACCTTTAAATGGGTTCAGTCAATCTTAGAGATTTTACAACCAGTGCTGTTTTATATTTCATTGCCTGTGTTGGCTAGAGGTAACTTCAGGGTATAGAATGACATTTCAAATCGCTAAATAAAGACAATTGGGTCAGACGAACAGATTCATTCTTTTCCGGCTAAGGAAGAAATAACCTCCGCAAGTATATTTGTAGAGTAATTATCTAGAATATAGGCAAGTGCAAATCATAAAGGCCGATACAAATGTGTAAGGTGCTCAAACCATAGGGTTATTTAATATGAACCTGAACCTGCATCCTGGTACGGGTAACAGGGTTAGATTTCCGTTTGGAATGCTAGACGTTCACAATTTTTGTATCTCATCCAATTGTCCCGAATGTTCATGGGAAGTATATGTCACAGGGTTAACATTATTTGAGTGTTTTCTAGGAGTTCCTACAAATACATTCCTCCGAGTTTGAAACTAATGGGTGAGGTTAAACTGTGTATGCTTTGAACTAGGAGAGGGAACAATAATATATACTACTAAAACAACCAATGATTGCAAAAAGCAAACCAGGCAATTACACCGAATGCTACCTCTGGTTTGTTCAATTGCACCATATTTTACGACTGAGTACGGATTATTTTACAGGCCAGTATTTTTGAACGTTGCAGTCATTGCTGCGAAAAACACTCATAATATCATATATATATATATATTTCGGTCATAAAAAATGCACACGGGGGAACTCACTTCAAGTATGGGGTCACTAGGAACACTACTAAATATACTACAGTAAACAGAAAAAGCACTAAAAATATATCCACCAATTGCCGCAAGTGGTTGCATCTAGCAGGGTGTCAGGGGTTGCCATATCGAGCCCAAATATGATAGTACACAAATTATCTTGAATGCTCTAAAAAAGCACTTGCCAAAGTAGATAGAGACTTCAGATTTTCCTTGAATAGTAATATATAGAGGGAACGGAAAGGAGATCCATGTATATTTATAGAAAGAGAAACAAGTTAAAAATAGCTTTATATAATCTACATGGGTGCTATACCACGAGTATAATACAAATAGGAAACGAACGATGATCAAGGGTATACCAAGAGGAGAAGCTACTCGAGTCTTAGTCTTCTTGGATTAGCTTGTATCCAGAAGAAGTTGAAAGTAGCTACAGATATAGAAGAAACAACTTCGATAGGGGTCATTGATCCCTAAATTTTTACAAAAAAGAATAGAAATACTTAATAAATAACAATTTTCATTAATTCATACTTGAAAATCTATGTAATAAGAAATCATAATGTGCCACATTTATATTAACCACGAAATTTTAAGATGATTATTTGGACAAGATTTCGGCAGTTTCAGCGGTTTTTTCGAATCTTTCTCTTTCTTCCTTGGAAGGTCTGTTCAACATAGCCTCCAAAGCACCGGAATATGGAGCTTTAGTCTTAGAAGGTGGATTATTGGTCTTAACAACATCGAAGTAGTTTTCATAGATGTTACCATCGTAACCACCAATAGCAGAGTTAATCATCATGTCAGATTGTTGGAAAGAATCGGTTAATGGAATGACATGAGGTCTGATTTCTTTACATAATTGTGGAATGTATTTAGAATTCAATTCAGCATTCAATTTTGGTGGGAAAACACTTTGTGCTAAGAAATCACCAGCAAACTTTTCTAACACGATAGTTGCAGAGTATAATCTAGCTAAAGATTCCAAATAAGGAACCAATTGCTTAGATTCAATTGAGCCAATTCTGTCTAAGAATTCATTTAACATGTAGTGGTGGGCCTTCAACTTAGAAAGAGTGACCATTTCAGCACCAATGGTATCGAAGTCACCATTGTTTTGCTTCAAGGTCTGGGATGCTTGATAACCAGTTCTAATAATGGCTACTTCAATAGCTTGTAAGACCTTCTTAAGATCCTTCAAGTCTTCAAGACTCTTTAATACTGGTTCATCATTCAAGTATTGCTTAGTGTTATTTAAGAAAGATGCAGAACCCTTGACCTTCTTACCATCAAGAACAGAGAGGATCTGCTTGATGAGTGGCTTACCAACAGACATGGCCAAAACATTATTGTCACCTTCCCAAGTACACATAACAACCCAGTCATTATATGCCTTACCGAAACCATTGTAAGCAGAGTAACCGTGACCACCACAGGCTTGTCTACATTGATCAATAACTTCAGCAGCTAACCAAGTACAAGTGGACTTTAAGGAACCGGAGTCAACGAATAATGATTTCATACTGTCAATAGACTTCATGATAGCACCCATATCATTAGATTCCACAGCCTTGTCTAAATTATCAAGAGTTGATTCAATAGCGGTTTCGATCTTGAGGGCACTGGCAGAGATAATGTAAGATAAAGCCAAGTATGGCAATAAACGACGTTGATGTAATGGATAATCAAGTAATTGACATTCCAAGGCATTCTCTTCTCCTGCAGCAGAACTAGCCTTGAATTGTCTTCTGCCAATTGCGTATCTTAAAGAAATAGTAGTGAATCTGGCAGCAACTCTGAAAGAGTCAAGAACCATCATGACCCTACCACCTAACAAAGCAGAGTACGACAATTGTTCTAATGGTGGCAATTGAACTTCACCACTGCTGGAAACCTTACAGAACTTTTGTAACATGAAATATCTTGGGATTCTAACGCTGGAGAATTGGATCCAACCGTTATCGATACCATCTCTACCCATCTTAGCACCAATATCACCAAGAGTGACACCTGGCATTGGATCATGGTTCGAATCTCTTATAGGGACGACGAAAGTCTTGACACCGTAGTCTTCACCACCGACAATCAATCTAGCATAAACAGAACAGTGGGTAGCAGAATGTGCGGCACCACCAATCCACCATTTGGTGGCACCGATGTGTGGGGTGTTGATGATGAATTCGTCGTTTTCTTCGTCAAAAGTAGCTGTGGTTTCTAAACCAGCAACGTTAGAACCGTGCGCCAATTCGGTCATACCGAAACAACCGTAGATACCTCTCATATACACAGCTGACTTATCCATGGCCCAGTACTTGACTTGCTCAGCAGTACCGTTACCTCTAAGACATGATACGAATAAACCCAAGTTAATACCAAGTCTGGTGGATAATTGTGGGTCGAAAACTCCCATAAGAGACATTCTCTTGTTGAAGTCATCAAAACTTTCGTTTTCAATATATCTGGTCAAACGGTCGATTCTCAAGGCTGTCAATTCACGCTGTTGTTCCTTGGTCAAATCGTAGTATTGAAAGTTAGCGGCTAAGATAGGATCTCTTTCCATTTGTTGCATCATTTGCTTGAACTTTTCTGCTCTTTCCTTATTTCCTTCTAAGAAATAGTGCATTTCCTTTGGGTCAAACTTGGATGCCGCTCTTTCAACTTGGATCAGAGCTGCTGGGTTTGGTGATACACCTGAATTTACTGTATTAGTAGCACTAACCATTTTGCTTTATAGATAGTAATTGATAATTAATAATATATTACAATTATAGTATATACCCTTAAGAAAAAAAATAGCCTTAAATTTTTAATGAAACTTTTAGTTTATTTTATATAATTCCTTGCCGTATGATCTCCACAAAGCATTCACCCAGTCAATCACTCAGGGTGTAATAGCCCATATTATGTTCGCACTAGAATTCATTTCGGCACATGGTACCGAGGTTATTTGAAATTTAGTTTACCGAGGAATTGTGCTCGGTATTTAGTATTCTGAAGGTATTTTTGGGATCCAGATTGCAACAATCATAAGTATCAGACCACATATTGTCATTGACCGATGTTACTACACATGTGGTTTCCCATATGTCTTAAAAAGATTACTTGTAACTGGCAACATAGAAGGTTATCGTACGATGATACTTGGTAATCACCTATGGTCGTATGATACAGCATCTCATTACATGCCGTTTGAAGTAGATAAGGTGCAGGAGAGACTTTCATATGTCAATCGGTTTCACGATTTTCTGTGGGGTCGAGATACCTCGGGATTTCTATGGAGATATCCTCTGATGCTTGTGTACAGCACTTGGACCAAAGAGCTGGTGGAATATTGACTGTACGGGTAAGTCGAATAGGGCGTGCGCTGGTATGGATTCCCCAGACGTTGTTTGGATAAGGAAGCAGGAATAGATGTAAATTCCAAAGAGGTATGCCAGAAAAGGAATTAATGCCGAAATGGTAAACCAGTCTTCAGAATTGAGAGATAACATAACAGAATTGGTACTTTAATATGGTTATTTATTTGGTATTACATGGACAAAACCTAAAAGTACATCAAGATACCGCAGAGTATTACAGCTTTGTAGCACAATTGGATGAGAACGTAGATTAGGTTCTGAGGGCACGAAGTGAGCTTCCAGACTTCAGTTTCAAGCTTATTATCTTGATGTCTATATGTTAGGCAATTGGGTTGGAAAATGGCCATGTAACAGTGCAAAATAGACAAAATCACGTGATACAATCCATGGCTGATGTTCTTGATCTTTAGAGACGATGTACTGGACTCAGAGTAACTAGAAGTAAGGAGGAAGTAAGAAGAATAATTATCTGTATTAGATACTTTGAAGTTTTCTTAGACACAGCGTTGTTGTGTTGTAGTTTCGAGATATTTCAAGGTCCATTTGTAATAATTGCTAAATGGTCAAATTGCAGGCCAAATGAACGGCTATTTACACCGGAACTAACACCCAGCAAGTTAGTTACGCCCTCCAATGCATGGGAGTTCCAGATTTAAATTGTGTTCGTTCAAGCTAGACAATCAATACAAATGGCAAACAAATTCCTGAAATTTCCACAAGGACCAATTTACCGTCCACTAATTACCACTCAAGATTATATCATTTTGCACATGTCACTATATACACATTCAATACAGTCCACCACTCTTACATATTATTCATACATTTATTGTGTATTCTTTATACACCAAGTTTTATGTACAGTTAGATATTATCCATTTAAAGGAAGCTTCTTAGTTTATACCACGCTATACCATCATGGAATTATACCATATAATTTATCATGTTTTCTCGTTTGATTAACTTATAATTGTGGGACTAACATTTCCATCAATGGAGATTGGATAAAGAAGACACCAGCAGCAAACAAAGTTGCGTTAACAGCAATAGTGAAAGCTGGAGTTTTCTTGATTTGTTCGAACTTAGATTCAGGCTTTGGAGTTGGAATACGACCAGACATTTTATGTATTATTAACTTTAGATAGAAGTATCGGAATCAATATACTAACAATTAGTAGATGAGAAAAGTTTTAAAGTTGTCGAAATCTCAAAATCGAATCACGTGGATATATTTGCTTTCAAGGAATTTTTTTTAGTTGATTGTATACATATATTTACTACATATAGAAACAAAAATATATAGGAAAATGGCATCTGTTGAAGTTGATTTGGGAGTAACCCCAGAAGGCACTTACTCCATTCGTGGTAAGCAATTGAAGTTTGATTCTAAAAAGGATATTGAACCATATTTAGAAGAAATAAATTCTAAGTCTGAGATTTTGAAACTTGATTTCTCTGGTAACACTATTGGTGTTGAAGCATCTGAAGCATTAGCAGCATCTATTTTGAAGCACAAGGATAGTTTAGTTGAAGTCGACTTCTCAGATTTATACACAGGTAGATTAAACACAGAGATTCCTCAATCTTTACAACATTTATTACCAGCGTTTTTAGAATGTTCCTATTTGAAGTTAATTAATTTGAGTGACAATGCGTTTGGTTTACAAACTATTGATCCAATCGAAGATTACTTGGCTAAGGCTGTATCTATCCAACACTTGATATTATCCAACAATGGTATGGGGCCATTTGCGGGTGCGAGAATTGGTAAGTCGCTTTACAGATTATCACAAGCGAAAAAAAGCCAGGGTAAAAGTTCCTTAAAAACATTCATTTGTGGTAGAAACAGGTTGGAAAATGGTTCTACCAACTATTTGTCGATTGGGTTGAGAAACCACGAAGATTTGGAAGTTGTCAAATTATACCAAAACGGTATCAGACCAAGTGGGATTATGAATTTGATTAAAAATGGTTTATCTCAAAACAGAAAATTGCAAGTTATTGATTTGCAAGACAATACTTTGACCACTAAGGCTTCAGTTGTATTGGCAAATGCCTTATCTAATTGGAATGATTTAAAGGAATTGAATCTTAATGATTGTTTATTAAAACCTCACGGTTCTTTAAAGTTATGCCAAGCTTTGGAGGAAGGTATGATCAGAGAAAACTTCACAGCATTGAAAATACAATATAATGAATTAGAGTCTCCAAGTTTAGATCATTTATTGGCTGCCATTGAGAAGAAATTACCAAAGTTGCAATTATTAGAGTTGAACGGGAATAGGTTTGAAGAGGATGCGGGGTTTATCGAAAAGGTTAATGAAATTTTTGAAAATAGAGGACTCGGTGAGCTTGATGAATTAGATGACTTGGAAGAAATCGATAGCGAAGAAGAGGAAGAAGAGGAAGAGGAAGAAGAAGAAGAAGAAGAGGAAGAAGATTTAGATGAATTAGAAAAAGAGTTGGAAGGTGTTCACTTGAAGGATGAATCGGTTGATGATATTACTGGTGGATTGGCTAAGACGCATATTAAGTAATTCAATTATATAGTTAGTTAATACTATTAATAGAGATGTATTACTAAAATATAACGGGAATTAGAGAGTGTAGCTGAATTGTGTAGGAGCGCTCGATTCATAAAATTTATTTTACAACAATTTCTGTACTGAAGAATAAATATATATCTTTAAATGTCAAGTTTATTTAAACTTTCTATACAAGGAATTCGGTCTTTTGACTCAGAAAGACACGAAACAATCCAATTTGGATTTCCATTGACTTTAATTTGTGGACAAAATGGATGTGGGAAGACGACAATTATTGAGTGCTTAAAGTATGCCACTACTGGTGATTTGCCTCCTAATTCTAAAGGTGGAGCCTTCGTTAACGATCCTTCAATAGCATCTCGAAGTTCTGTAACTGCACAAGTGAAATTGGCGTTTTTGAATGCTAATGGTAAATCCATGATTACTACTAGAACTATGCAGTTAACCAAAAAGAAGACTAGATCAGGTGTTTCATCTAATACTTTTAAAACATTGGATGGTCAATTAGCAGTAATGGATAAGGGAACAAAAACAACCATGAGTACAAAGAACGCTGAATTAGATACATCAATTCCAATATACCTAGGTGCTTCTAGGGCAATATTGGACTATGTCATATTTTGTCATCAGGATGATAGCTTATGGCCTTTAAGTGAAGCATCAGTTTTAAAGAAGAGGTTTGACGATATATTTGAAGCTCTGAAGTTCACAAAGGTTCTAGATAATTTAAAAACGATAAAGAAAGATATGACTACGGATATCAAACTAATAGAACAAAGCGTTTACCATTTGAAAATAGATAAGAATAGAGCAAAGAAAATCAATGAAAAAGTAAGTGATTTGAATCAAAAGGTAGATAAATATACAGATGAAATAGCTTCCATAACTATGGAAATTGAAGGGAAAGAGAAAGAAGCAGAATCGTTATTCTTGTCAAACCAACAGTTTCATGAGACGTTGTCTAAAATTGAGCATTTAACATTTATTCAAAAATCATATGGGGAGCAAATTAACAGGCTTGATAAGTCAATCGATAAATTACCTGAACTGGATGAGGAATTAAAGGAACAATTAAATAATTATGAAAATTTGACTAACCAAAAGTCCCTACAGATTAAGAAGTTAAATGATGAAAACATACAATTGCATGAAAAGTTGAAAGATAGAAGGAATGAATTTAACCAAATAATACGATTAGAAGGCTCATTGAAATCGAAAGAAGAATCCTATAAGGAAAACGTTATTAATTTATCTAATATTATATTTCAATCACAAAAATATTTTGGCGTATCATATACGGAAGCTGACCTAAAAGATGATATGAAGATTGACCAATTCAAGGAAATTATAGAAAAAAAGCAAAAAGATTTGAAATCAGATTACAATGCTTTGGTTAATAAACATTCTGAAGATGAATTACTCCTTGAACAACGTGTACAGGAAGTAGCCAATTCAATCGCAAGAGAAAAACAGCACCAGGAATACTGTAATGACGATGTTGAGCGAGGTAGGGAAAAGATAATCGAGTATAAAAAAAAAATTGACCAATTGCAGTACAATGAAGGTGATTTAGAAATAGAAAAGTCTGAATTGGAAAGCTTAGTGTCAAAGTATGAGGAGAAAAAGAAGCAGAGTGATTCCAGTGGTTACGAGTCTAACGTGGAATTATATAATACTAGACTTATGAACTTAGAACATGAAATGGAAGAACTTAATAGAAAGGTTTCAGCGAGCAACAAGCAATCAGATATACATGCCAAGTTATCTTTATTGAATGAAGCTATCACACATAAATCTAAAGGATTATCAAAAGTAATTTCGAATAATGAGAAATTGTTCACCGAGAGAACAACATCACCGCTTAAGGTTGAAACATGTGAAGGTATACTTAACAAGTATATATCCTTGAATTTAAAAGACATCGAGAAAAAGCAGGCTGTGGTAAGCACGAAGAGTAAAAAACTAGATTCTTTGAACGCTGTATTGGATTCAAATAGTGGAACAAGGAAAAATTATGAAGAAAGAATAGCAAAATATAAAGAGCGTATACTCAAGGAGATTACTGAGGATGAAATTGATCAATATGAGCAAATATTAGAAGATTTGGAGGAAGATGTCCGTGATACTCTGGAAGCATTAAACACATTTGAAGTTAGCCGGCAATTCAAAATCAAGTCAATAGAGATTGCAAAGAGAGATGAGCATTGTACTTTATGCTTAAGGGCATTTGATTCTCCAGGGTTAAAAAACTTTGTTGATTTATTACAAGAGGATGTTAAAAAAATGAATGTAGAAGAATTGACTAAGAATGTTGAGATAGCAAAAAATGAATTAGAATCAACCAAAGCAATAAACTCTGATGTCCTTCAATATAGGAAGCTCTCTCTGGAGGTGGAAGAAATTATTTCGCAAATAAATAAGTCGAAACAGGATGTTTGCGAAGCAAAGAGTGATTTTGAGCTAGAACTTAATAGCTTAGAAAAATCAAGATCTAGCATGGACGCGTTGAATTCTTTAAAAACCCCAATTAACGATATTATTAGAATTAATAATGATATTGAAGATAGTCATAAACAGATAGAGGAATTGAAAGATGAACTAAGCGAGTATGGGGTGTCAAAGATGTCACTTGACGAATTACAAAAACTTCAGCAATCTAAGAATATGGAAATTAAAGACTTGAGAATACAAATAAATGAAATCAATGAATTAAAATTTACCAAACAAAAAGAAATAGCAAGATTAGAAAACAACATTAAAGATAAGCAGTTGGCAATAAGTAATATGGAAAGATCGCTCGTTGACCTCAAAAATCTTCAAGAATCTATTTCTGAAAATGAGAGACACATTATGAATTTGAATAAGCAACTGACTGAGATCAAAAATACATTGGATAAATTTTATGAAAAGCAAGGTGTGCATAATGATGAATTAACGAAAGCTAAGGATATTAATAAGGAGATACGGGAAAAAGAAATGAGCAATGTAGATAAAATTGGAAGGATTGTTTCAGAATTTTGTGGCATCTACAACGCAATTAAATCATTCTTGCAAATTGAATTACCAAAGTTGAAGGAAGTAGAGGCAACAATCAAGGAAACTGAAGGTTTGACAAAAGCAATTGAACGTGAAATACTGGAATCGGAATTTCAAATCAAAAATCTCGAGAAATCTGTTAATGAATCATCAAATTTTAGGAACAATATTCGTGAGAACTTGGAATATAGAAATGTTCAGAGAGAATTGGAGGATATTGATAACCAAATCCATAGCCTTGATATTTCTAATGCACAAGCGAAGAAAGATGAATATCAAGAAGCATCAAAGGTCATACGAAATATATTAACAAAACTCAATGCAGATTATGCTGGGAAAGTAGGCGAGGTCAGACAGATGAAGGATCAAATATCATCACTCCAAAATGAGTTAAGTAATGAATATAAGAATATTGATAGAACCTATCATGAAGAATGGATCAAATTACAGACAAATATGCTAGTATCAAATGATATTCAAACTTATTCAAAGGCATTAGATAATGCAATCATGAAGTATCATAGTATGAAAATGGAAGATATAAATAGAATATTAGGTGAGTTATGGCGACAAACATATAAGGGTACTGATGTTGATACAATATCTATAAAAAGTGACGTTAATGTCCAAGCAAAAGGCAATAGATCCTACAATTATCGTGTGGTAATGTATAAGCAGGATTCTGAGTTAGATATGAGAGGCAGGTGTTCAGCAGGTCAAAAAGTTCTTACAAGTATTCTTATAAGATTGGCATTGGCCGAATGTTTTGGGGCGAATTGTGGTATCATTGCTTTAGATGAACCAACAACAAACTTAGATCTGGAAAACACCGAATCATTGGCTCAAGCCCTAAACAAAATAATTGAATTCAGGAAAAATCAGAAAAACTTTCAATTAATTGTCATCACCCACGATGAAAAGTTCTTGAGCCATATCAATGGGGATAATTTCACAGACCACTTTTATAGGGTTCAAAGAGATGAACATCAGAAATCAATAATTAGAAGCTTACCTATAAGCCTCATTCAAGAGGATTAACAGAAGTATACATTAGAGTTATATACTATTTTTCGACTCCAGTTTTAATTGGTGGTATGCTATTTTGAGAAGTTTTACAATTATAAACAGATACTGTAGGTTTTGAAATTTCCGCTTTCCATTGTTCTAGAAACTTATCCTTTTCTACCCACGTATTTTCTAACCATTTCTCTATTTTGCTCCGTTTTGTTGGAACCCTCAGTAACCTCTTGGATTTAACATGAATGTGTACTGTAATTGGGTTTTCCGAGGAGAATATATCCAATAAACTTGGAGACACTAAATTCATTTCACTATTCAGGGATTTCTGCAATGGACTGATTGCAATACTTTCACTGGCAGGTTGTTTGTTGGTAAGTGTCATAGTCCCTGTAGTTTTCGATTCATATAAAACTGATACATCATAAAGCTGATTAAATTTAGAATACTCTTTGCTATTCAATGTCGAAACCACATTGTAGAAAGCGGAAAACCTTGGATATAATATATTCTGTAAAGTTGGTAAATAAAACTTTTCACTCTGAATTTTTTGTAACGAAGAATCCTCTTCGGTCCATATATTTACTTCAGGAAACAATACGATCCACTCTGGAACTTTGCTTTTCAGAATTTTCCCAAATACAATTTTGCTCAAAGTATTTTCTAACTCCCAATTTTCATCACATTTGGCTAGATTAATTAAAACTCGTATCGATGGAATACGCCATAGCTTAAACCATGTGAAAAAGTTGATTCTGGGAAGTGTTAGGTTTTTGAAAGATTTTTCGTTTTCTTTATCTTTTAGCATATCATTCGTGTATCTAGCCAAATATGCCATGGCTATAAAATCAGCTAAAGATTTGTGGTTACTAATAATTATTGCAGAATCTGTATTTATATCATCCCCCGATATTACAAAATTCACTCTATTTAGTTTCTATAATTGTCAGTGCTGTTCATATACCGATTATTGATTATACATACCAAAAAATAAATACACAACTCCCAGAACATGGAAGCAGATAGCCTTTTGATATTATTAATGCTTTCTGGAAGTAAATAATGTAAACTTAAACAAATTGTTGAAATGAACTTGTATAGGAAGGAGGCTGCAAAGAGAAAAAGTAGTATAAAACATCCTCTCAATCTTGAAATTATTGAAGTAGTAACATTTTCCGAAGTAGATGTGATACCAATATGGTTTATTAGTTCCATTATCTCGCAGAGCTTCAATATTGTTTTACTAACTTGAATATAAGTATGTCTATATATTCTAATTCTCGGTGACCACAAACAGTTGCAACGTGCGGCTTCCAGTTTTTTTTTTTTTAGGTTCATCTAAGATGAGGCACATCAAGAAATTTATGTATTGGTCAATTAATTGGTTGAAATCAATAAACACGTTAATATGTCTCGTTTGATTGTAAAGGGACTTCCTAAGTACTTCGATGAGCAAAAACTCAGGAACCATTTTTCCAAGCAAGGAGATGTTACTGATGTTAAGCTCATGAAGAAGAGAAATGGTGAATCCAGAAGATTTGCGTTTATTGGTTATAAATCATTTGAAGATGCAGAGAGGTCTGCTAGGTTTTTTAACAAGTCGTTTATAGATACGGCTAGGATTGATGTCGAGTTAGCAAAAACTTTCTCTGATCCTTCGGTTCCTTTGTCATTTAAAGAGAAAAGAAGATTAAACGATGAAAAGCTTAGGGAACAGGAAGCAAGATTAATAGAAGAACAAGAAAGGAAAAATAAAAGACAAAGAACAAACAAATCGACTATCGATGAAGAAATCGAAAGCAATCCAAAATTAAAAGAATTCATGGAAGTTATGAAACCATCTCATCAAGTTAAATCATGGGCAAACTATGACTTGGCTGATGGATCAGGAGCTCCTTCAACTCAAGCATTGACTGATGAATTAGCTAGACAAGATGGAAATGAAAAATCAGTGGAAACTAATAAACCTAGTGTTTTGCAGGCCCCTGAAGGAGAAAGTGATGACGAATATGAGGATTTCAGATCAGGTGCTAACAGAGCAGAAGGAGAAGAAGAAGAAGAAGAAGAAGAGAAAATGATCAGTTTAAGCGAATTACCTGAAGAGGAGAATAAGTTGGCTCATGATGAAAATGTTACTGATCTTGATTGGTTAAAAATGAGAAGAAGACGTATGAAAGATAATGAACCTGTTAATGAGACAGAAGCCGCAGATTCTGTTTCTAAGGAAGACATAAGAATTGGAGAATCTAAACAAATTCCTGAAAAACAATTAGATGAACCGCAACAATCACCGGAAGAAGCTACTATTGCAAAAATTTCTGAAACTGGTCGTTTATTTGTTAGGAATATTTTATACACTTCCACAGAACAAGAATTCCGTGAATTATTCGAAGCATACGGGCCTCTTGTAGAAGTACATGTTGCTATTGACACTCGTACTGGAAAGTCCAAAGGATTTGTTTACATTCAATTTGCTAAAAATGAAAATGCTTTATCAGCATATCATGCATTGGATAAACAAATTTTTCAAGGTCGATTATTGCATATTTTACCTGCCGATAAGAAGAAAGATCATAGGTTAGATGAATTTGATTTAAAAAATCTTCCATTAAAGAAGCAACGTGAATTAAAGAGAAAAGACCAAGCATCGAAGACACAATTTAGCTGGAATTCGTTATACATGAATAGTGATGCTGTATTAGATTCAGTTGCAGCAAAGATGGGTGTTTCCAAATCTCAGTTGATCGATGCCCAAAGCTCTAATTCTGCAGTAAAGCAAGCTTTAGCAGAAGCACATGTTATTGGAGATGTCAGGAAGTATTTTGAGAACAAAGGTGTTGATTTAACCACTTTTGATAAGAAAGAGAGAGATGACAAAGTCATTTTGGTGAAAAATTTCCCTTTTGGTACAACTATTGAAGAAATTGGAGAATTGTTTTCAGAATATGGCCAATTAAAAAGAATGTTGATGCCACCGGCTGGGACTATTGCAATTGTTGAGTTCCGAGATGCTCCAAGTGCAAGAGCTGCATTCCAAAAGTTAGCATATAGAAGGTTTGGAAAGAGTATTATATATTTGGAAAAGGGTCCAAAAGATTTGTTTACTCGTGAACCTTCTTTGGATGAAAATAATGTAACCTCTGAGAAGCCAAATGAAAAGGCAGTTGAAGCAAAGGTAACTGCTAATGATATAATGGGAGATTCTAAAGTACAAGAAGATGAAGATACAATTGATGGACCTACTGTTTCTATATTTGTCAAGAACTTAAATTTTGCTACGACTTCCCAAAGATTGACAGAAGCTTTCCAATCTCTTCCAGGGTTTATTGTTGCCAATGTTAAGGTTAAACCAGATCCAAAGAAGTCGGGAGGCACCCTTAGTATGGGATTTGGATTCGTTGAATTTAAAACTAAAGAACAAGCAAATGTGGCTATTAGCACCATGAATGATTTCATTTTGGATGGTCACAAATTACAACTAAAATTATCTCATAGACAAAGCGGAGCTGCATCTTCTTCATCCAAGGGTGAGAAATCTAATAAATCTAATAAAATTATTATCAAGAATTTACCTTTCGAAGCTACAAGAAAAGATGTGTTGGAATTATTCGGTGCTTTTGGTCAATTAAAATCTGTTAGAGTACCTAAGAAATTTGATAAATCTGCTAGAGGTTTTGCGTTTGTTGAATTCTCCTTATTGAAGGAAGCTGAAAATGCAATGGACCAATTAGAAGGTGTCCATTTGCTTGGTAGAAGATTAGTTATGCAATATGCTGAACAGAATACTGAAGACGCAGAAGCTGAAATAGATAGAATGACAAAGAAGGTTAAGAAACAAGTAGCAACTCAACAATTAGCATCTGCAAGATTATCTGGTAAAGGAAAGAATATTGACTTAGAGACTGAATCAGGCGATGAGTTTGATATTGCAAATTAGAAGAGATCTACCATGTAAAATATATATGTACATAAATTTTGTATAATTTCACTCGCGCAACTGAGAATTATTTTTGAATATCATTATTTACTTTCTAACTATCAACTTTTTTTAACAACGAAAACAATGTTTAAAATTCCCATACATAGACAGCTTAAGCTATCAGGAAATTCATTTTTCAGCAACAGTAATCTTGTATCTTTGACTCTTGGAAAATACAGACTGTCACAGTTAGTTTTAAAGAATACGCCACTGGACTTACTCAAGAGGTCAAAGTATCTTACTTCAAATACAGAAATATTACGGTCATCTTTTGGGCCTAATCCATTCAGAGGATTTAAGTTCAATTCTATTAGAAGCTTTAAGTTTGTTCAACAATCTCGAACTCTCAGGACCAGTGACACTTGGACTAGATATAACAAATATTATGGTAGAAGCCATTGGAACAAACTTAAGAAGCCAGCTTTATTTACTGCTCTATTTTGCATAACTACTACACTTGTTACTCCCTATATTTTTAACTACACTCCTTTGTCATATGTTAAGACGGTTCCATATGCATTCGTTTATTCCATCATTGCAGTGAATGGTGCTGTCTTCTTAATGTGGAGAGTACCGCAATTTTCCAGATTTCTTACAAGATATGGGTTACTTGTTAAAGATAATATGTACTCAAGCTGGTCTATGATTGGTGCCGCATTCTCTCATCAAAGCTTGGGGCACCTTTTCGTTAACATGTTTGTTTTGCAGTCATTTGGTACTACATTGTGTGCTGCAGTTGGAGTGACAAATTTTGCAATTATGTATCTTAATTCGGCAGCAATATCTTCCTTTATTTCTATACTAGTCCCTACTCTATTGAGATCTTCATTGTCAGTTGGTTCGTTAGGTGCATCGGGTGCGATATTTAGTGTATTTGGTGCTTTCTCCTATTTATTCCCTAAGGCACCGCTAGCATTCTTTTTTGTACCAGTACCAGGTGGCGCTTGGATTTTGTTCTTGGGATCATTAGCATACAACATTGCTGGTAGCGCTTTGAGATGGGGTAGATATGACTATGCATCACACATTGGTGGATCTATAGCTGGTATTGCTTATGGATGGTGGTATAATAAACAAAGAAAGGAAAGAATGAATAGAAGAAGACGCTCTTATGTGTTCTAAGATAATCAGAAAAAGGTGGATCAAAATTAGTTAAGGTTTTTGAAATGTACATAGATGAAGCATAAATATATATCAATATAATGAAACTTCTGCTCAATTTATTCTCTAACTAATGCTTACTAAAATTTTTGATTAAATATACAGGGAAATTGAACTATAATGCTAAATAATGGATCTAACTTGATTATAATATCAAGCGAACGAAACACTCTTCTTACCCCTATTACTGGTAGGTTTGGACTCTTCGTCCTTTTGTGATTTAGCATTTTTTCTTCTATTAGCTCTCGCAAGCGATGCTTTACTCTTTACTTCATTCTTCTTACCTTCTAATTTATTTTCTTTCTGTTGTTCTTTTCTTTCAAGCTCTTGTTTTTTTAACTCTCTGAGCTCTTCTAGTCTTCTGGATTTCTCCAATTTACTTTCATTGACCTGGTCATATTTATCATTGATAGACTTAACTAATCTATTCAATGTCAATGCATCATTATCTTCCACAAACTTTTTACCTTTCTTGCCTTTCTTAGCTTTCACTCCAGGTGTGATAGCTTTATTTAAAGTTGGAATATCTAATTGATCTTCTCTATATTCTTTACCACTACGTGCTCCATATAACCTTATTTTTGCCTGTTGTTTCTTCACAGCCGCCTTTGATGGTGCCTTCACAATTGATTTTGGTGTCAACTTAGGTTGAGACATCAACAAATTTCTCGCCAATGAGTCTGAACCAACTTCAGACTCTACTGAACGGGTTTTATTCTGAACCTTACTTCTCTTAGCAGTTTTCGACTGTCTTGGTGCCATTACTGAAATTTATATTGCTTAATAGTATAATTTAATCGTCCCTACTAAATAAATATCTACTGAAAAAAAAATGAGATGTGATTTTGTGAGCCGCATCTCTTTCCTGCACCTTATTAAGGTAGATATATAAAAAAAATATT